CGGTTTTGCGTCCTAATCTGATAACTGCCAACATAAATTACCTCCTGGAGGTAAGAGAAACACTGTGTGCCATCAAGATTCTCATTTCATACTTTCAGAAATAACAGGGAACAAAAGAAAATATATCTAAGCCACAATAACATACAAGAATTTATTTCCAAATTACACTATATTTGTAAGACAAAGCTATACTCATCTTTGATATGCAAAGATGGCAAATTAACTGTTTGGATTCAGTAAATCAGAAAAATACACATGCATTTTTTTCATCTTCTCAGAAAAATAAAACCCATAATTACCTATTCAAAACCCTGAATATAACTTATTCTCAATTCTTTAAAAATATCATTTTCCCTTCCAAGATATTTTTCTGCTTTAACAGCTTTTTTTCTTGAGCTTTGTTATTCTCACATTCTTCCCCTGTCTGCTGAGGAAGTTTGCAGATATCATCTGGGTTTTCTTCATATCCACTCCTTATTTAAGCCATTCCATGACTTCATAACTGCTACACATATGCCCAGGCAGATAGAGTTGTCAAAACAAAGAAGCATTAGGTGGTAGAGGTGGGGATGATGGTTACAAAATGTTTTGAGTACTAGAACGTACAGATTGGAATAATTAATTCAAGATAGAATGTACAGGATACTAAATAAAGTTCCTTCTCTTATCTCAGAGTTTTGAATGAAGCCATTCAACTTGAAACAATGGTGTCTGAAGACTCCCAGCACCCTAAAGAGTACCATTAAGTGGTAGTCCAGAGGAATCAATTACAGCTACTACATTACTGCAGAAGAAATGCTTAGCCTTTCTATGTAAATATGGGGTGGGGGGTGAGGGTGCAGATGATCTTCAGGAGAATAAGACCTTTGGACCGTGGAATGTTGAGGTCACAGGACCTGGACTTTGACTCTCAGGGTTGGAGCCCTTGGATCAGATGCTGAGAGAAAGAGCTGCCAGCTTTGGGTAAGTATACTAGTTGGAAGACAGTCTCTTAGCACATCTGCAACCTAATTCCCTCTTCCACATAACCTAACATGTCCCTGAGGTCCAGGAATTAGAACGTTGTTATCTTTGGGGAACCATCACACTGCTGATTTTAGTCCCTGTTCTTTAGACCAGGAAGCAGCTTGAGTTATTGTTTATTCCTCTGGTATTGGTTCAGTTTCTGTAACACATTACATATGCCAATAAAATTTCTTTATGCAAAAAATAGTCCAAATAGAACTATTTGGGCTTGGCCTATTGGTTCATATATTTCATAGGTTTGAAAAGATCTTTAAATATGAATAATGTACTAGATCTAACTGTCCAATCATTGGCTCCTCTTGGCTATATAATGTGCATCTCAATCTTAACATCAGTTAAGAGAAAATGCAGAAACCACTACCAACACAACCTGCACATAGAAACAAGCTTGCTTTCTCAACACTGCCTCCCTATTTCAGGAAATGGAAATCTATGCTATCAATTGATCACAGCTAAAACCTTAAGAGTCATCCATGGCTTCTCTCTTTCTCTCCTGGCCCACATCCACTCCAAAACGAAATATTGATTCTACTTTCAAAAGATATCAATAACTGACACTTCTCCCCACCTTTATATAAACCCAGGTTAACCTATATTATTTCAAAATGAAAGCTGGTCTTCTAAATAAATGGGGAAAAAGACTAAAGAGATATGTGAAATAATGATGAAAAGCACAAATAATATTGAGCAAATAAAGTGAAAAGAAGAATTAGCCTGATACAGAAAAGCATATGAGATTCAGTAAAGTAGACCCAGGTTTGAATCTTGGTCATGCCATTTATCAGCTGTGTGCCCCTTGGTGAGTTAGCATCTCTAACTTTCAGTTCTGATAGCTGTAAGTAGAAGTAATTATACCTACCTCAGAATGCAATGATGAGGATTAGAGAAGACATCTTTCAAGTAGATACTCAATAAATAATAGCTAGTAGGATTATTAATAGACTATGTAACTAATTTTTCAAATTGGAAAACATCAGGCTTCCTATTTCTCTTGGAAAAAAAAATTTATCTATAAGCCAAAAGTTCAGCTTTTAAAGGTCATGAGATAATGTTAAAAAATACAGGGGAAGTAAGATGAAGTTCCTCAACTGAGACAAAGAACTATTTCTCCTGCTGTCTTAGGGAGCGGTCCTAGCATAGGGAGGTTAAAAGCAGGTGCAGATGCTTCATCTGTGTTTCAGTATGTGTAATGGATGCACTCTGGGTCAAATGTTTCAGATTTAAAAGACACTTCTGGCAGTGTAGAACTGATAAAAGCCATCAGACTTTTGCCTGTCAACCACATGGAAGTGAATAATGCAGACATATCTTTCTATCTTCAGTCAAAAGCAAAACTTGACAAGTGCAGTGGTATGCACTTGTAATCTCAGCTACTTGGGAGGCTGAGTCAGGAAAATCACAAGTTTGTAGCCAGCCTGGGCAAATGTGTGAGATTCTGTCTCAAAATAAAAAGGGCTGGGATGTACTTTGGTGGTAGTTCACTTGTCTAGCATGTTTAAGGCCCTGGGTTCAATTTTTTTTTTGTTTTGGTTCCGGGGATCGAACTTGGGACCTTATGCTTGCAAAGCAGGCAGCAGAACCACTGAGCTAAATCCCTGGACCCAAAAAAGAATTTTCTTAAAAGTGGAACACAGTATGTCTTTGAACTACATATAAACTTGTGGAGAAAAACATGTACATACTGATTTATTATATCTTGCATAGCAGGTGCTTAATAAATGTGAGGTGATGAGGTGGAAAATATAAAACTAAAGGGCCTTGCAGAAGTCTAAATATCTATGATCAGTCTCATTTCATCTCTTTAGAAAAGGTAGATCTCCACATTATTTCACTGAGATTGGAGATTTATCAACAGTCACGCAACTGTTAACCCATTTTTGATTCTACAGTAAGTTAAAGCCCTAATACTATCATTACAATATTATAGCTCATTAGAAATTAAAGTCTTTAACATGAATGTACAAATTTGAAAACACTTATGAAGTTAAGATTTATTTCATTAAAGACACTTTCATACTTGAATAAATGTTTCATGATCATAGCTAGACTACAAGGTTAATGAATTAATTCATACTTACTTGCTATCAAGTTAAAATAATAATTCCACTGTTAATTTTGCTAACATTAATATTAACTAAGAGCTTCAGGAGTTTGAGAGAAAGCCTAATTCAATATACCTCCTGTCTTAGTAACTTTCTGGTTACTGGGACAAAATACCTTATAACTACAAGTCAAAGGAGGAGAGGTTTACTTTAACTCACAGTTTGCAGAGGTTTCAGTCCCTAATTGATTGGTTCAAAGGCGAGGCAGCATGGCAACAGAGAAACAGTCCATAGCAAGGCACACAGAAAGCTGCAAGCTTTCCTTCTTTCCCTTTTTATTCCTTCCAGGCTACAAGTCTATTGGTTGGTGCCACTCACACCTAGGTTGCATCCTCCTTCTTCAGTCAATCTATCACCCACACCCAGAACTATTCTAAACAAATCAGTGACTAATCCAGTATCACACATCCATGACATAGTCCCTTCCAAAAGCGCAACCTCTGAGCACACGAGGCTGTGGGGGAATAGCTAGATAAAAACAATAATACCTTCCCATTCCTGGTACCAATTCTCTCCCAGCATTTATTCCATCTTCACTTGCTATTCTGTGCTCAGAGTGGAACTTTCCAGAATACTTACATAAAAATATATCTTAGCTACCTTTTATTCAGCTTAATAGTCTCCTGAGGCAAAGAGATATTGATTCTTCATTTTTGCTCCACCAAAACTCAAGAGGCATCTGTTATGACTGAATCAATGTAAAGGTGGACATCTAAGTCTCATTTACTAAAATAAAAAAGGATAGTAGTTATCTCATTTTCCAAGATAATTAGTATTTTTACTAGAATTTTGAAATATAGCATTTATATATATTTCCATTTCTTTCCTGTTTCTAATAACCAAAAGAGAAACATTTTTTGAATGAGCTTGAAACAGTCCAATTTCAAGCAGGGTTCAAATGCTAAGGTGAATGAATGATAGGGCTTCCATGAGTGCTCTGGGAGGGAAGAAGGCAGGTTGAAACCCCAGTCACTTTGATAATTCATTTGAAACCTATCCAGCAAACTGGCTTACACATATCCTTTTTGTTAAATAAAACAAAAAGAAACAAGAGCCTTTTCCTGCCATGAATTTTTATCTGAATACAACCACTTGACAGTATAAATATTTGGCTTGTACTCTAAGCTTACAGTATTTTATGATTCTTTGAGAAATTTTCAACCCTGAAATCTTTATATGTGGAATATTGTTTTTAAATATGATTGCAAAATGCCTAAATATGAAATACATATCATGTGTTCCTTTTAACCAATAAAAGTTCCAAATGAAGAAAACCTGTCTGGCATTAGATAAATGTCTTCAATGTGGAATAGGCAAGAACACCTTGAAATAATGCTTAACTAATCACAAAGCAACTATTCTGCAATAGATGGGCAAACCACTAATTAGACGAAGGGAAATAAAACTGTCATGGTAGGATAAAAGGATAAAGAGAAATAAGCAGTAATTACTGTTTTATCATCAGAGAAAGTACTATCAAGCATGGCTCAATAAAAAGGGGGGATGCACAGCTGTATAAGTAAATATCAGCTCTTGTTAAATCAGTACTTGAAGCTAAGCACAATTCAGGAATGACAATGACATCTTAAAAAGTACATTCAAAAGCAGAAAAGAATGGATTCCAAAGAGTAAGGGTGCTTCAGGTCTTGGGCATGCAGTATACTGAATAATAACATTACATGGCCACTTGTTTAAGCTGCTTAAAAACAACAAAGCCAGTCCCAAAAGAGCTTTTTATTAAGGGCTGAGGTAGGGCTCCTAGACTAATTCTTTTAAAGTCATTGCCAACCTTAATTGGTTCACTTACTATGCAAATGGTATAAGCAAGTGTAATTAATTGTATCTGAGGCTTTAATGTTCTGAGTAACTTACATTCTGTTGCTTGGAATAATCTTGTGTCCTTCTCTAAACCAAGTCACTTGAGGTCTGGGGCAGCTGCTGATGGGCAGTAAGTTTAGAACTGCTGCATCTCCTTGAGAAACTGTTTTCCTCTGGTCTATGTCCATGAAATTTCCCATATCTGCAGAGAAAAATGAGACCATTTAGGTTCTAGAAAACACTCTTGTTGGGGGGACTGGGACTCAGAAATAGAAATAACTATATTTCACAACAAAGTCAGCAGTGATGCTATAAGCTAACAAGACAAGCAAGGCTGAATGGCAGCACTGAGAAGTGCTGACCCGGCTCTGAGTGAAGTGCAGACAGAGCCCCCCACCTCTAGAGGCCAAGAAGAGCATTAATCAGCAGAGCTTCACACCCTTTGTCTTACTGTAAAGACACAATGGAATGATTGCATCTGATTGTGTACTGAAATAAACTGCTAAAAAGCATTCTAGTCCCACAGGAAGCAGCTTTCACAGGAACACTAATAAAATGCTTCCAGATATCTCCCAACTACAAAGTCTTTCCAGATAGTTCCCCAGCTCAGCCCTTTGCTGTGCTGAGTTTCTCCTCTTCACTTCTGTGGTGACTGCCTTCCTAACAGGCCTTTTGGGATCAGTATTTTCTAACCATTATACAGTTCATAGTGAGCTCTCATTCACCTCCACACTGTTAGCTTAATTTGGGACAGCCAGTCATTGTTCCAAGACTTAAAATCATTAGAAAAATAAGGTCACAGGGAAAAATACAGCTATTGAATTGTAGATGCAAACAGCTAATTTTAAACTGATAGCTTGAAATGTTTAAAAAAGTTCCCATATTACAATCAGATACAGATAAATATGTATGCACATAGATACAGTAAGTCACCAACTTTCTTATTCAAGTTGCGAACTTCCACTGGTGTACTGTGTGAGATACATGGGTATAATGTATAAGACTCACTTTGTCAGATTACAAAGGAATCTGACTTACAAATGTTCTCCCAGGATGGAATTCGTCTGTAAGTCGGAGACTTACTATACAGCAAAACACTATTTTAAAATTTATATAAGTTTGAGATCTTCCAAAAAATAGCTCTATTATCTATGGCTATTCCATTCAAAAATTATTTTTTGTAGGACAGTGTGTAATATTTGAGGGAAAAGATGAAACAAACCAATGAAACAGATTAAGACACATGGTTACTTTAAGGTAAAGTAAAATTTGTTATCAAAGGGAGGAAAAAAAAGAAAGTTAAAAAAAATTTAAGTGCTAGAAATGAAGTATAGAATCAAGAATATAGGCCAGGGATTTAGCTCAGTGATTCCGTTGCCAAGTGCAAGGACCGGAGTTTGATCCCAGGTACCAAAAAAAAAAAAAAAGAATATATATAATTAGGCAAAAGGAACTCTAAACTCAAATTTATAAAATAGAATGTAATATAATTAATTCCAGGCACTTAACTTTCTCAAATATGGTTTGGGTAATGATTGGCACTCTTTTTGCTATGTTTTCAATTATCCTACTGAATAAAAGTTCTGAATTAGCTGAATGACTTCATCATTATAATTCAGAAAAACATATGCCTTCCTAGTGATTTAAAACATAATTAAGCATGTATAGTGCCAGTACCTCACATAGTTATTAGAGCTTATGGTACACCTGTAAAATAACTAGGTACTGTTTTATTTTGTATATTAGCCCAAAGCAGCAGGCTTTAAGTGGAGTCAAAATAACAAGTGAGGAAATCTTGTCATCACAAAATAATACAGCCCAATCTAAAAGCTTGACAGTGTTCCGTGAGGTCATAATTTAGTATCTCAGAACACTGTTTGCTTACTTTGTAGCAGAGGGCCATTTTGGTAGTATATAGAAATACAATAAAGCAGACAGTCCGTTTTAGATAGATTTTGGTTTAAAAAAAAGACAAAAATGTAGAAGCCAAATTCTCTGACCTCTCCCTCCTAAAGATGCCATTAAAATTCAAGCTTCCTAGGGTGGGGGATTTAGCTCAGTGGTTCTGCCACCTGCCTTGCAAGTGCAAGGTCTACAGTTCAATTCCCTGTACCAAAAAAAAAAAAAAAATTCAAGTTCCCTAAATTTTGATAACACTTCCAGTTATTTTTAAAGGTTCATTCTCTAAAATGGATATGCTAAAGAATTAATAATCGCTATAAATTTATAACAACTAGTACATCAACTTTCTTTGTACTTTTTATAGTCAAGCAAAAAAAATTTCTAAACAAATCATCCTTGGAAAGAACTGTTTATGAATGGATGTAATTTGACCTAAATGGTCAAATTGGTCAAATTACCTAAAGCTGAATGGGCTTAATTTTTCTAAATTTACAAAATTCTGAATCCTAATATAACACAAGAGAAGGCTGACTTATTCATAAAACAGAAATTATCTGCCCTTTTCATCCTCCCCAGGATCTTGAATGGATCCTGCACCTTTTCATTTGGAAAAAGTAGAATCTGCCTCCACAGCCCTTCCCCAATCAGCCAGCTAGCTGTTTACTCATCTTTCATCAGCTTTAGCAGTCATTTTATTTTGGTTGAACCAAAGATAAATTATCAGTCCCTACAATGGCTAAAAGCGATTGTGAATTGCTCCCAACAGCTGCTTTGTCTTGTTTGTCCATGTGGGAGGTCTCTGAACCGTACACATACATGCAACTCGAACTTCTGATTTTCTTTGCAACAGCGCTCCCATTCTGTTTCGCACCACGCACCGGTAAAACCCAGCATCAAACTTCTGTAACGATGAAATAGTATACCTGCCAAATACCAAAAAGAAGTGTTAATGGTCACATCTGGAATGGTATGCACACCTCACATAGTAGGTGCTCGACACATATTACTTATATAACCTACCAACTGCACAATCCTTCTCTGTGCAAGGCAATGCCAACTGTTATTTATTTCTGAGATTATTTTATCAATATCTGTCTAATTAGGGTGTGAATAGCACATAAAGTTGGATTCATGTTTGTTTTATTTGCCATTCAATCTTGGTGCCTAGCACAGTGTCATGTGCAAGTTAGGTATTATGATACGATGAATGCACATAAAATATAAAGATAATTGTATTTAAACTACACCTCACAATCAAAAATTATTTCTTTTAACTCTCTGAAGAACCTCAGAATTTCCAAAAATGACTTCTGGAGCTGCTGATAGCCCTAATATACAGTGCTCCATTATTCTACATGAAAGTTCGAATATAATCTTTGGGATGAGATACAGCCATCCCAGGAGTCAATTCCCTGTCCTCTTGGTGTGAACTTCTCCATAAGTAACTTACACATTTTCTTTTTTTCCTTCACCTGTGGCCTGACATGGACTTAATCTTTTAAGATGACAGAAAAGCCATTTCATATGTAGTTTCCATTCCTGTAGATGTAAGTAATCATCTTCAAAATCCATGGCTTTCTAAAAACTTGTACATTTTCAGAGGAAAGACATAATTAAAAGATATGGTTTCTATAAAAGGCATGCTTTAGGTTTTCTGCTAGTGCTGTAACTTAGAATGTTTTAAAATCTATATACAGTGTCCAGGGATTTAGCTCAGCAGCCCTGCACCTGCCTGGCAAGCATAAGGTCCTGAGATCAATTCCTAGTACTGGAAAAAAAAATCATAAACAAGAAGGATAAGAAACTGTGGTATTTACACATAATGCAATACATTGCCATAAAGAATAATCTTGAATCATTTGTAGGAATACAGGTGCACTTTGCTACCTTAACATTAAGTGAAATAAATCAATACATGAACTCAAATATTGCATGGTTTCTCTTGTATGAGAAACCCAAAATACAAATACAGAGCAAAATAAAAGACAATAGGAAGGGATAACTGCAGACAGGAAGGAGACTGAGAGATGGAGGGAAAAAGAAAGGGATGGAAAAAGAATTAAGAATATTATGTACATGTACCAACTTTCCAGGAGGAATGTACACATTATGTCCTGCAGACACATACTGATAAAAAAATGAAACTTGTAAAAAACGAACAGAAAACAATACAGAATTTTATATTTTAAAATTTGTTAAGAGGATAGATCTTGTTACATGTTCTTATCACACAGAAATAATAGTAACAATAAAGAGGACAGGAGGAAATATTTGGAGGTAATGAAGAGGCACTCTACTATGAATTGTGATGATAAGTTTCATGGGTGTGTACTTATCTCCCAATTCATCAAGTTGTGTACACTACAAATGTACAGCTTTTTGTATATCAATGATACCATGTTTTATAAAAAAGCACAAGCTGGGGATGCAGCTCAGTGGTAGAGAGTTCATGGTGAAGGATCGGAATTCCATCCTCAGTATGACGAAAATTAAAAAATACAAAGTGAATGAGCATTGGAAATGAAAAAAATAGCACATCTTTGAATGCAAAAAAACAAAGTAAGACTTCAATCTTGGACACTTTTCACACATGGGGATGTGTCCATTATGAGAAAGAAAAGAGAGCTCAAACCTGCTCACATAATAGTTTATTTTCTGAAAAACAGAAAACACCATTTTGTGTAAAAAATGATATGCAGTTAATGGATGTCTACAAATTTTAAAATATGTCCTTTTAAAATATAATCAGTGAAAACTCATTTAAAAATCAGGTAAAAGACAAAGCGAATGGCATGCTTTATTTTCACAGTCCCAAGCATACCTTGAATTATTTATATTCAACTAATTGTTCATCTTTTTATTCAAGTATATCCAATTAGCCATCTTGAACAAGAAACTGATAGGAATAATTTTTAAGGGAATAAAAATTTGGATTGGACAATTCAGGCAATCCAACATTAAGCAAATATTAATCAAAGTATGTTTTCCCTCTGATAACCTGTCTTGAGATCTTAGGCAGGATTCATAAAGTCTTTTATGAGAAAAATATGAGTTTTTATCTTACAATTTTTTATTCCATTATGAGGAACAGTTCATCTCAAAATTAATTAATGAAGACAATCAATCAGAATAATATCAAACTGAACACAAAGAGTCAATGTCACTTATTGAAATTACAAATCAGGAATGGAAAGGTGAGCAGCTTTGATTACTACATACTGTGATTATAATAAAGAGTTTTGATATTAAAACAAAATCAACAAAACTTTACAGAAAAGAAATAGGATCAGTCATTGGAGTACAGATTTGCAAAGCTACAAAGAATTTTTTCAATGCAACATAACCATACTTATATAATTTTCACTTTTTCCTTTTTTCAGTATCCCAAACAAATCTTAAATTCTCATAAATTTCTGTAATAATCCTATGTACTAAGGCACAAAAACAGCACTCCTTTTAGACAGCAGAGAGAAACAGATACAAAATTGAATATTAGGCATATGCTTTCTACCATCTCTTTAGTCTAATGTCTCACCAGGGATAAAAGCCTATAAAAAGTTGCAAAGTCCTCCACCTATTACAGGGATTCCTACACAAATTATGTTCACCAAACAGATGGGAATATTCATTGTAAGTCTACTGTTTATAAACACACATTTTTAAGCAGAGAAAGTTTCCTGGCTCTTTATACGACAGTATGATAAAATCTTAGCACCATATGCCACTAAGATATAGGAAATACCTGCTCCTGTTTCCAATCAACACAGCAGGGAATATATGTTTATATTCACTGTATCAAGACAGAATTCTACTAGACTACCAGAATATTTTCCAGGGCCAGTTCATTACCAAAAATAGCATATTAGGGCCAGGGATTTAGGTCAGTGGTGCCGCCACCTGCCTCACAAGCACAAGGTCCTGAGTTTGATCCCCTGTACCAAAAAAAAAAAGCATATTAAAAAAAAATCAAACACAATCCCCCAATGAAACCAAGGATTTAAATGTCCATGGCTGCAAAGTGAAGTTATGAATTGCCACTCTGAACCATCAGAATGTTCTAGGAAGCAGTCACGGGTCCATTTCAGCACAAGAACAATTGCCTGACTAGCCCTCAAGTGGAAATTTCACATTTCTGATTTGCCCAGGAAGTGAACCACTTGCTTATATTTGGAGAATTCTTCACTGTAGGTGTCTCAGTAAAGACAGAGCATCTCTTACATTAAAATCCAAAAAAGACTATGTCTTTATATTTCCAGACTATCTACCGGGCACCAGCTGAGACACAGGATGGCCAATTTGGCACACCTGGTGGAGGCTGGCGACGCACAGAAATACAGCTAAATGACTCATCTCGCGGTTGTGGTAGGGGACAGAGTAGCAGTGGACATCATGGCGGTGAGGACACAACAGAATGTGGACCAGGGAAGCAATGACAGCGTTCAGTCCCAGCTGAGCATAGGCTGAAAAGAGGTATCTCATGTTCAGCCAATCTCCAGATGGCAAGTCAGGATGAGTCTGTTCCTGCCCCACTTCAAGTCTGCCTTGTGATGACCACTATTCACACAGAGAGAGCATGCTCTTGGAGTTTAAGATCCCTTCAAAATTCTACACCACAGGGCCCAGGATTTAGCTCAGTGGTTTCACCCCCTGCTGTGCAAGCCCAAGGACCCGAGTTCGATCCCCAGTACCCCCCCCAAAAAAAATCTACACCACAGAACACAGTCAAAATAAATAGGTTAGAGTTCATTAGTACCCAACATAGTTGTAGAAAAAGCTAAACAATGACTCATTTATTTCTTCTTTGAAAAGCATAGCTTTCTGGTAAACCACTGAGAATCACTAGGTGATAATTATTCCCTAAAAACTGTGATCAAGTAACCTTTAAGGAATTTTCCTGAACATGAATCACTACCATATTAGAAAATGTCCGACAAAATACTACTGGTTTTCAGAAGTGTTACTGAGGAGCAGTTAGACATACAACTAAGAATACTCATCAAACCACCACACTTCAAAACATGGAGAAAACTTTTACAGTGGTACTTTGTTTCATGAGCTTAATTCTTTCCATGACTCTGGTCTCAAAATGAAATGGACAAGAACGGAATCAAATTTACCCATAAGGTCAATATTGAACCTAACCACTGAGTTTGATTCAGGTCACATCCAATTCAGTTAGGAATCATAATTTAATTCATAAGAAAGAACTTTCATATTTATTAAAATCAGATGTAAGTTTTTCCTCTCTCAGAGTCAATATCCATTTTATGACACCTCGGATAAGACTACTTGCCACAACTATAATTTTTATGTTACGGTGAAAAATCTCTATTTTGCAAGAAAATATCTATGAACTTCTACAGTAAATGCTTGTATCTTGGCCCAGAGCCAATTCTTATCCCTAAAGTGAAAAAATAGTTGAGGAAATAAAAACACTGTAAGCCATTTATATCTTTCTTGGAAATACCTCATTTTAAAAATAAAATAATAATCATTTTTAATTTTATAATTTCCTATATAAAATTTTTAAAGATAATAATTCAAAGTGGAAATCGTTGATGTTTTTCAAGTAAAATAATGAAATGAAAATAATGAAATTTGTTAAGAGACAGGTATGCAATTTTGAAGGTTTATACAGCTCACTAGTAGGCCATAGGCATTGAGTAAGGTGAGGATCCTGTTTGAAAAGAATTAATATAATCAGTATGAATGTCAACAAAATAGTAAGATGGAAACTACCCAACAGTAACACTGTATTTGCAAAAATTATTTGATCTGCATTTCATTTCAAAATTTATATTAAATTAAGAGAGAAAGTAAACAAGTGCCTGTGGTTATTGGTCAAGGTCTACAGAAAGTGTAGAAATTTCAGGATTATAAATCCAGGGAATATAAAACCTCCAGGGATCAATTAGATGTTAAG